GCTGGAACAGCTTGAGCGAGTTGCTTAAGTTTGCAATGATGCTGAGACACATCAAAAGATTTCAGTGAAAAGAAGAGTAAATGCTTGAATGTAAGGAAATGGGGGCATTTCTAAATTGCAGAGAGGTTGATACAAGGTTTTTTGATTTCTCAATATCTTGAATCAGTTCTCGATCGCATAAAAGAGTGCACATTGTTACAATAAAGCATGCTTCCACTATTGTACCCCAGGTTCTCGAGATTTCATCTTCCGAAATTCATCTGCAGGAGTGGTTCGGAACATTTATAAGGAATGTGGTGGTTATTCCTTGCCTCAGCGCCATTTTGTACAATTTTGCACGAATTCTGCGCAACACCTGGTATAACTAAACACTTTTTCAACGCTGATGTCTAGTCACCTTTTTATATGTCAGTAATATGACAATTCAATCTTGCTGGCTGGTATTTTTGATGCCTATCACTTGAACGGCAATCTTGTATGAAATTGCACAGCTTGAAAGTCAGCCTGCGTAAAAGGATGTCATCCCCGTCTCTCATGATGTATCGTTCAATCGCCTGATATGCCTTCAAATGATCCGTTTAATTTTTTACATGCTTTAAGGTTCAGTATGAAGGCCGTCTGGGTTGTAACTAGATGAACGCTGGGCCCACTAAATCAGAAAAGCCTATTGATGGGAACAAACACAACGAGTCTGTTTCACAGCAAGGAAATTTAAGAGATGTCCGCTTAGCTACGTGGAATTCTTAATTTAATATATAATATAGATGTTCTCAAGTATTGGACCCTTGTCAGAATAAGATAATTTTCCACTTTTTTTCGCTGCTCTTATCTTCCCTTCCATTCCTTTCCATTACTTTTTTGCTTGGTCATAAGACTTTATTATGCCAAATTAATAACTCCTTCAATAAAATTCTTGCGAACAAGCGCATGAACAGAAACATAATACGACACTCAATATGATCCTAAGTGATCAAACAGTGCATCTATTGCTCACTGAATTCCATTGTTCCCTTAGTGCAAACAGTACATTTAGCACTCACTACAGTGCAGTTGCCCATGTGCCCCCAAGTGTTACAGGAGGAACATTTCAGCCAGTAAACAATATCACAATCATCATTAAACGGATTCTCTTGGAAACAAAATCCGCACACTCTAACATCTTCTGAGGCGAACTCCTTGGGTACAGCAAGACTTGGCTTCCGCTTAGCTTTGTTGATGGATGAGGTCTGGAAAAAAAAAGTATGCTTAGAGCCACCAGTCAAAGTGACACTCTGAGGTAGTCAAATTCACTCACAGTTTTTAGTCGAATCGGCTGTGCATCGGCTGGTACCATGGCGCACGAGGGAAGTTCCGGGCGTGTTGCGATAATGGGCTCATTCCTTGTCGGAGGAGCCAATGTAGAAAGCTTGCTTTTCAAGGTTGTGTGCGACCGCTTCATAGCAGCTAGGGCATCGTTCAAACATTGCTCAGCTTCTCTGGTTGGTTTAGCTGCGATGCGCCTCAGCTTCAAATGTAGGCCAGCATATTCCTGTAAGAAAAGAATTTTATCGGTAGAAAAAAGTCGAAACGAGAAAAAGTTCAGCAACTAGAATTTTCAATAGCTCTACCATTTCAATACGTTGGAGTAATTCCTTATTTCTATCTAGACGATTTTGGTCAGAATCGTCAGACTGTCGTGTCGAACTAGTTGGAGGCAACACAATAACAACTACACTCTAAGCTCACACACATCTCCTCATTTAGGCCCCGGAAATTCCTCGTTCGAACGTAGGTAGTAGACCTTTAACAAGCAAATTGGATTACTTCCATTACGATGGACCTTGCACCATGCCTCCCTTCCTGGGGCGTACAAAGCAACTAAGCGTGAATATGCATCTCAGGAGCTTCCGCCTACGATGCCCGATCATTACACTCGCAAAAAACGAATATGGGCAAGCAGAGCAATGGCTATTACAGATGATTGGTCACGCTAACACACACAACTTGAGGCCAATTGCAAGCCATTTCCTGATACCTTTTCACCACGGTGACAACGTTCTGCTCCCCCATGTATACACTTGTCTGATTTCTAGCACGTGAATTTCCGCTAGACACCTGGCTGACTACATCTGATTAGTCTCTTGATTCGGTAATAGCTAACCGGCTTTGCCTGTGGCTCAAAAAGATGATTTTGGACGATATTCCGCCTTCTATGAGTCCCTCTGCGCTCCTAACGACATGGTTTTCCACCCTTCAATCTATTTTCGATTCATCACTACTATACTTCTTTTGTGTTTTTGTGATTTTTTGTGTGTATGGGTGTGAAACAGAATCTTCCTCCATTTCCTTAACCACTTCGATAAGAGAGTCGACCAACTCATCGATGCGTATTTTACTCTTCGAGCGGAAAACTTCCTCTCTTCAAGTGCTTATGCCATCGCTCACACATCATGGATGTGTTCATGACTGCTCCTTTTCTGTGCTGCGCGCTCCACTCATCTATTCTGTGCGTCCTAAAGGTGAAAGAGTTGGTCAAAAACTCTCAGCGATTTTCAGCGAACTCGTAATCCCCTAGTAATCTTACCAATTTTTGATGCAGATAATCGACTAACTCGTACTGGCTTTCATTTAATAAAAACGTCAATGTATCCGAGTATCTTTTTGTGTAAGAGCTCGGCATTGTAGGACCTGCACACGAACCGAATCCTTGTCATGAACTCGCCAAGGAGTGAGAGCTACAATATCTCTATCATAAAAGATTTCATGGAAAAAAAATTATTAAATAAAAGTCTGTTCCAAACTCACCTTCGTTAATTTTCTCCTCGCTGAACGCTTGAAAGTTTGCAGTATATGCCAGTTGCATAGAATTTTCCGTGTACATGCGTCAGGGAAGACTTGTTTGAACGCATTATAAAATGATGATGCATCGTCGCTCATAAAAAATTGGGGCTCAAATGAAGGGAGCACTTCCTTTACTTTAGTGAACAAAATGGCCAGCTCTTTCTCGCTCATTCTACAATGCAACTCTTTAGAAGAGCTATAGCTATCGAAAGAACAGTTTGACTTGTACCTGAAGCTAAGCAAAAAAGCAGCTGGGAGTCCGCGATCACAATGGTCGGCTACAATTATAGTGACAAGTCTGAGCTTGTACATAGTCACGTTAAAGGTGTCATCAATTCCGATGCCTTTTCGCGAGAATTCTGCGAGCCATTTCCGTTGCAGTTCATTTATTATAACTGCAACAAGATGGTTATTGCACACGAAGAACATGGAGTAACCTTCGTCCCACCTAGACAGAAGCCGTCGCCTGTATCGTCTTGACTAGGAGCATAAAAAAGCAGACCGTCGCTGGCGTTACTCTCCTTAAAACGTTTCTCCACCGAAATCAAATCGTTTGCATGGCGCCGTCCAGGAAACAAGTTGTGGCGCTTTGCTTATAGCTCTGGAAATATGCAATGGAGAAATCAAGCGAGGAGAACTGATGATGATGTAACGCCCAACCGAACGTCGCCAACTGTGATGAAGAATAGACGTTTCTCGTTTCCATTGCTGCCTTGTGAACTTCTGAATTTTTCTCTTATTTTCTGCTTAACTTGCAGATAACTGAATCCTTCCTTAAGTAGCTCCACGATCAGCTCTTCATCAGTTTTGTCCAGCCACAACCTCGATGCGTCCGCTTCATGGCCTATGTGAGTTAGGCAATATTCAATATGGATAGCCGCAGCAGTGAACTTCGCCTGAAATATCCCGTTCTGATAGCGTCTCCATTACACAATGATGTCACTCACATTTATAAATGCCGTGCAGTGCCTTACGGTTCTCTTGCTTGTATTTGTAGTAGCAGCAAATAACGGTGCAATGCCGGACCTGTGACATCTGTAGTACACGCGTGTGTTGTCATCGGTGGCTTTCCTGCTACGAACGACAAACGAGGAGACAGACGTCTCTTGAGCGCACTTAAGCCATTCCTTAACCAGAACCCACTTTTTCGGTTATTTCTCTGGACGGGCTCTACCCTACCTCAAAATCAATGTCGTCCTTGAACGTTAATCTGCTGACATTAAATGCCTCAGTGCCTGTGCAGTGTTCCGAAGAACAATGCATAGCGAGTTCCTTGAGGTTACGCACAGTGTGACCGCATTCTGGATACTCGACGCTCCCACGTTCTGCAGAGTACAGAAAGTTTACCGTTTCGAGGACTAATGTGCAACACAGCATCTTGTCACCTGGCTCATTGGTCTCTTGCTGAATACAGCGCCGTTGATGTTTCAGAAATGAATCTTTTTTGGAGTAATCCTTCTCACAGTTTTCACAGCTATATATATTACTATTCTCATCGGCATTTCCTCGTTTTCTCATTTCCGCTTTGGTCCTTTTGAGCTTCTCCAATTGCTCCTTCGTGTAATCATGGCGTCCAAATAGGTGATCGTAAAGACGATTTACTTCTTGACCACAGAGAAAACATTCAGAGGACATTTCTCGATGTCTGAGAAGGAGGCGTGATTATATTATAAGTAAGCCTCGATAAGTTAGTATTAGGTGATCCATGTAACTTTATTCCGAACTCAAGTGAATAAGTGACCCGAAATTGGCAACCAAGGAGATAGAGAGATATTGCCAGCTGTAGAATAAAATATCTGCTGACGGGATCAGATAAATATCGCATATCATGGACGTAGACGCAACCCAATATCCGATTATAATCTAGTATCTATGCTATACGAATATTTCTAACCATTTCAAGTTGCTATAACTTTATCTACTAACCTACCAATCCTTGGAGTATCCAAGGATCATTATTCAAATGTAGAAATAAAAAGAATGAAAAGGGAAACAATGGGAAATACACAAATAAATCGGCACTATTCAACTTTACATCCCCAAAAGCGCGAAACTATATTTTTCCTCGAAACTTTGCTCACAGGGTTACCCAGGTTACCCCGATACCTTGATTAGAAAAATGCATTCATTTTAGCGGTGGCGTCATCTTACGCCAGTTGGCGACACCTTGTCACGACGCTTGTTTCCACCTAAGCTGGTACAAACTTCTGTATAGAGGTTTGATGTCCTGATCGCGAGTATGACATTCACTTTCAACATTTGCGCTGTTCAACTCATAGGTCCACCCTTCCACGCACGTAGTGCCCAGGACTAAGTGAGGAGGTAGGGGATTCTGGGGTGTACTAAGCTCAGAGAGTAGAGAGACTCTGCGGTCGTTAAATTAGCACTGTGTGACAAAACATGAAACCATAAAACGTGCGAGAATACTAGTTAAGTGACTTATTCACGTTACCCTAAGGCTTAGTCCTCTATCGCGATCTCATAAGTGAGACAAAATGGAGCTTAAATGGACTGAGGCGAGAACAAATGTTATATTCATGATCAGAGCACCAAATGATACTATACAGAAAATCCCACCGGATTTGGTGAAACAGGTCATGACAAGGTGGCGCCAGAAGGCGCCCCGCCAAAAATGAATGCCATTTTCGCACCAGGGCACCGAGATTACTCCTATGGGCAAAGTTTCGACGAAAAATAAAGTTTCGAAATTTGTGGGTTGTAATAATTGAATAGTGCGACTAACCAAATGAAGACACTTCCCCAAAAATCCAAAGAACGTAAGAAGTCGTAATATGCATGACGAGAATAAAAACTTACCTCACAAATAGAGCAGCGCAGGCAATATTGAATTAAAATAATAGAAACCAAAATCAAGGCACCGCTTCCGAATGAGGACGTAGCCTAAAGATAAACCTTAATCGAACACGAAAAATTGTGACAATAACTAGAAACTTACTTTATAAGCAAGACAAGATACAATCAACACACAACAATCAAATAAGAATCCTATGCCAGATAAGAGCGCAATCTGAAGGCAAACCCTGATTGAACACGAAAAAAAAACTTTACAAAAATAGAAACTTACTTTACGATGCGTGTACTACTGCATTGACGTATTGAAGAAATATCACATTCAGAGCACCGGCATCAAACGAAAGCACAATCTGAAGTTAAACTTGAATAAAAACAAGAAAGTTGACAACGGGAAGAACTTACTCTGAACATGTACGGCACCGAATTCTATAGAGCTGACATCGAAAATCAAATTAAACACCACCGATCTAAAATGGCAGCGTTGTAAGAAGGGAAAAAGCCAAAAACTAAGAGCGAAAAGAAGAAAACGAATCAACGTTGTACAAAATAACGAAGTACAAAGCGGGTGAACAAGAATGAACGAGTGAGCCTGGCGTCGTTTAAAGGGCGCGGCCGCGGATTACGGTAACGGTTATTCGCGGCCTCCCTTATCCGCTGTCGGCGGCTCTTTGTCCACGCACAGGCCCGCGACACGTCTATAACGTTGTGATCCTTCTGCCCTCTATAACTTTCTTCTCAGCTTCATCTTACTTTGATTATCTCGTCACAGTAAGGAGATGTGCTTTCAGGCAAAGTTTGGGAATCAGCCAACGTCCTATTTTGCCAAGAAGACTCCTCAAACCGATCCACACACCTACCGTGTTGAAGCGAACGGACCTCTTCTGGTAGGTTTTCTAAGTTGTACTAGCGCTTGTTGTGTGTTCAGTACAGCATTTATAGCGCAGTGGTCCACTTCCCACCGAATTCTCGGTTGGTTTGTTAGGTTCCTTGTCCATTGGAGCTTATTTTTATCCTCAGTGCTCTTTGCCCAGTGCTGTAGTCAGCTTTGAGCCGATGTCAGACTTTGCGAATCCAGCGATTCGCTAGCGTCCGCGGTCGCGTCAGGTACAGCGAATCGACCATTTGCGCGACCGCGGACGCTGGCGAATCGCTCGATTTGCAAAGTCTGACATCAGTCTTCGAGCGTAGCGTAGGATCTCATGAAGTGGCTGATTTTGAAGCCGGATCAGAGACAACGGCTCAGCTTTCAAGCTGAGCATCTGCAGGGCCTGGGAGCACAGATAACCTCGAGAGAGTGGTAAAGGGGACAAAGAACGTCTACCGTATGTAAATCGTTCTCACTTTCAGCTCCTTGCTGGTGTCACTTGTGCTGGTAATTTTAAAGCATGCGATCACGCAGCCTTCATGCCTCATCCCTTGCCGACACCAGGTGAGAACTTCGTCACTGTATACGAACATTTAATAGCAGAGCTTTTTACCTCATCAAGTACATTATTTTAGAGTGCTACGAAAAAGCGTATTTGGATGACGACCATCCCGCCGTACGAAAGAACGGTTTCTACCTGGACGTGCCAAGCGCTTGCACTTCAACCCAAAATGTAAGGTTCAATAGTTATATTTTTCTTGGAAAAATGTCTTTCAAAGAACATACTTTTGCTACATGGGCGTTTTACAATAATTAAAGACCAGGGTTAAAGGCACCTTTCACAATGCAACCAAGATCAGCGTCTTTCAGAGATGGACCAGTGTCCTTTCATGAGTAGCAAAGACCAGGCGGCAAGTGCAGAGGTTATGCAGTTCCTGCTGCTGAAAGGGTGACATGACTATTCAAAGGTGGTCTAGGCCACGCCCAAATACGTGTGGTGTCTGGGTTTCGCTATTCACTATGTTCCCTCGCTTGTTCTCTTCACTCTGCGCGCTGCTTTTCTTTGTCATAGTACTCTTCTACGAAAGGGATCATGTCAGCCGATTACCTAAGCGTACCGTCTACCTTTGAAAGTTTGCCCAAGGTCATTACCGCAACTGCTTTATTTTGTTTTCGACTGAATCATAGAAGATCACTGCGCAAGGAATGGATTTTGTGAAGATTGGTTTATTTCCAGGTTGTGCTGACTGGAAATCGAGGAAATTTGTGGATGAATATATCTGTGCCTGTTACAAAACAGTCATCAATTACGTTAGTGGATTCGACATACGGAGACGCTATCTACTTCCATGCAGAGTATGTCTTTGAAGCTGTTGAGAGTGTGGATTGACCTTTTCTACAAAGCCAGCGTAGAAGATAATCGAACATAGTTGTCATCTTTCTTTATGAAGGGAGTTATCATAGAAGTTAACTCTTAACGTTCGAATGCGAGCCAATGAGGGAGAATTCATGCAAGTTGGTAGTGAGACAAACATGAGCAAGGTAGAGGGTGCTATTGAGCTATGTCAATAAATCCCTTTTGTGAGCGGAACAGAACTACCCACAAAGGTGAAGTTTGCTAGTCTCTCGATACGATAGTATTCAACAACGGTGCTTGAGCCTTATCGCTTACGCTTTCGAAAGCTTCCG